ACAAATTTCAAAAACCGTGAACACTAGAACTGAAGTCACTTCCTGGAACTTCAAGTTTCCGGAAGTGGAATTGGCACCAGGAAAAAATAAGAAGTCACCTTAAAAGAAAAAGGTGAAGTCACTCCCCAAAAACCCAAGTTCTAGGGAGTGACTGACAAGAAAAAATAATATTGAACACCCTAACCCCTACTTCCCAAAAACCCTAGTTCTAGGGAGTGGCACAAAAAGGAAAGAAGTCACTCCCCTAAACACCAAGTTCGGAGAAGTGAAATGGCATCCTCAGGAAAAAAATTGAAGTCACTTCAAAAAAAAAAATTGAAGTCACTCCCCAAAAACCCAAGTTCTAGGAAGTGACTGACAAGAACAAATTTTTCTGAAAAAAAAGAAGTCACTTCCCAAAAACCCAAGTTCCAGGGAGTGACACAAAAAAAAACAAAAAAAAAAACATTTTGAACTCACTCCCCAAAACTACAAGTTCCCGGAAGTGAAATGGCATCCTGGTGAAAAACAAAATGAAGTGACCTCAAAAAAAAAAAAAAAGAAGTCACTTCCGGGAACTTCAAGTTTTCGGAAGTGAAAAGGCATCCTCATGAAAAGAAAGGAGTGACTTCAAAAAAAACAAATGAAGCCACTTCAAACAGAAAAAAAAATAAGTCACTCCCCAAAAACCCAAGGTCTAGGAAGTGAGTGACAAGACAAAAGAAATTTGAAAAAAATGAAGTCACTTCCCAAAAACCCAAGTTCTAGGGAGTGACTCAAAAATACAAAAACAAAAAAACAATATGAAGTCACTCCCCAAAACTTCAAGTTCCCGGAAGTGAAATGGCATCCTCATTAAAAAACAAAATGAAGATCAAAGTCACTTACCAAAAAAAATTGAAGTCACTCCCCAAAAGCCCAAGTTCTAGGAAGTGAGTGACAGGAACAAGGTTATTTTAAAAGAATGAAGTCACTTCCCAAAAACCCAAGTTCTAGGGAGTGACTCAAAAAAAAAAAAACAAAAAAACAATTTGAAGTCACTCCCCAAAACTTCAAGTTCCCGGAAGTGAAATGGCATCCTCATAAAAAAAAAAAAATGAAGTCACCACCAAAAAAAAAAAAATCAGTCACTTCCGGGAACTACAAGTTACCGGAAGTGAAATGGCATCCTCATGAAAAACAAGGAGTGACTTCAAAAAAAAAAATGAAGTCTCTTCCAAAAAAAAATAAATTGAACTCACTCCCCAAAAACCCAAGTTCTAGGAAGTGACTGACAAGAAAAAAGGAATTTGAAATAAATGAAGACACTTCCCAAAAACCAAAGTTCTAGGGAGTGACTCCAAAAAAAAAAGGAAAAAATTGAACACATCCAGGCACATTACCATGCACTTAGTGGACCCCAGGATGTATTTTCTCATCAAAAGTATGGGTCCAAAATAACCAAGATACTCCCAAAGGCCAACCCAGATAACAAAGTGGGGAATAATCATCAGTCACTTTATCAATTTCATTTAGATCATGACACAGGAAAAATCACATCCAGACACTATGCAATCACATTCGAGTGAAGGACAACAGCAAAATAAGAAATATCACCACCTACTCAGGCCAAGATGGCATCAAGTCTAACAGTCAGATAGGAGGGGCTAACAGACATAAACAAGAGTAAAGGGGAACAATAGCATGGGAGGAAACAAAGAGGCCTATCCTACTTCTTCCTTGATACACCTGCAGAGTACTCAATCATCGGGTGCTCTCCGTCTTCTGCTTCTCTCCTCTAATCCACCATCAGTGTCAGATCTTGCAATGTCTGTCTCCTCCTCGTCCTCACCACTAGAGCCAGAGCTAGAGCTAGAGTCATCAGAGCTGGAAGAAGGGACCAAAGAACGCTTCCGGTGCCTGATACGTCCCTTAGTCTGAGTCAACTTGACCTTGACCTGACTCTCGTCCGAACTTGAACTTGAGGAAGCCTTGCTGGGGCTGCCACCTCGCCTGGTCGCAAAAGAGTTCTCTGAACGCCCGCTATGACTTGGTCGGATGAATCCACCTTCTTCCTGGGTTTCGTTAGGGTCTTCTTCATCTTCACCGCCACCGTTAGCAGCCTCTTCATCTTCACCGCCACCGTTAGCTTCTCCTTCGCCGCCGCCGTTAGCTTCTCCTTCATCTTCACCAGGGCCAGGCTGACTAGTCATTGCATCTTCATTGGCACAAATCGTAGCATTCCAACCGCAGGTAAGAGTCGATCGGAACTCGTCAACGAGTGGCTTATCTTCTTTGTCTACGACAACATCTGGCGCCGCCTCTCCATTAAAATTGAGTGACTTGCGTGGACTCTTCGAACAGACTTCAGCCAGTATGTCTTGCAGCGCTAGCCTAGCAATCGTTTGTTCAGTCACATGTTGATTCCAGAATCGGGGCGCCGCTTGCCAATCAACCGTGTCTGTCGTTGCCGTGAGTCTGAGATGCATGTTAGTCTTGTGGAGTAGCCAACGCACAAAGCCATCGATCCGGTACCATGGCGTGTCTTGAGGGGTCCTCTCGTGGTAGTGACCGTTATTGTAAAGCCAATCCGCCTTAGCTTCAGCAATATACACCAGTGCCCAGACATCCTTTTGGTTATAGTTGTGGGAGTCAGTCAGACACTGCCACCAACCAGCCGCACCATACAAGAAAAAAATCGCCATCGATCCAAAGGCCGCCAGACGATCTTGCCCCCAGTCAATGAGAGCCTTAGAGTCCTTGAGGTCCTTCACGTCTCCGGTTTTGAACAGACTTTTGCTCCGATCTTCTGCTGTCATGTATTGAGAAACAACCATCGTTTTGTTCGGAAAGGACTTGGTCTTGATACAGTGGTCGAGATCGTCTAGAAAAAGCGCTTGTTGCATCATCAGACAGCAGAAAAGAGTCTCCCAAATCCGTTTCTGTAAGATCATAAGGCCGTTTCCCGTTCGTTTATTCCCATGGCTAGCAGTTCCCTGGGCACCAGCTTTCAAGGCCTTGATTTTCGCCAATACAAACTCGCCAGATTGGAACATCGTATCTTGCTTCCAAGTTGCCGATGTGTCGCAGACCGGCTTGTTGCTAGGTAGAACATAGTGATGGAAGTGGTCGAAACAAGACTGGGTGAGAGTGTGGATCTTCCGAAACGACGAGTCGATCGCCTTGACCGTATGCGGATCCTCAGTATAATCGCTGTGCTCATCCGTCCTGATCATCATTCCGTACAAGCACTGCCAAGATGAGGCCTTGACTTTGTCGTCCGAGTCATGCGCCGCCTTAATCATCGACAGATCTACAACACCTTCTTTGAAGAACGGATCGGCTGCGTCCACCTGCACAAGCCTTGGGCCTTAAGGAGAACATCAAAATCAGTTCTAAACTCATCTCATCCATCCAGAAAGGCCAGGGCCAAAAAAAAAACACATACAAGTTGGAATCAAGTTCAAAAACTCATCCTTATACACCAAGCCAAAGGCTTGGATGGCTTCCAAGTCAGGCTTAAAGTTATCCATTTTCGTGTAAAACTCGTCATCCTCGAAATCGTCTCCAAAAGCCTTCACAATCTTTGCCACCCTGTCCATGAGTTCGGGGCCGTAGTTCCAGTGAGGATTCCTTGATTTGACCAGCATGTCCTTGTGAGCTATCCGAGCCTCCTCGCACGTTAGCGGGGGCCACATTGGAGCTAATAAAGCTGAACAGACCCAGAGAAAACCCAATGAGGATACACACCAGACAATGGAAAATGGAAGAGAAACAAACTTACCACCTGGTTGAGGAGGGATTGCATACACACAATTATCCTTCTCCTCCTTCCTCTGCTTTACCTTTCGATCCCGCTCGAGTTTCTGTTCCGGCGTCATTTCCGACACTTTAAGCCTGGGCGTCTTTGGCGGTTTCGGTGTTTTCGGAGTCTTCTTCTGGGCCTTGCCTTTCCCTTTACCACCTCGCTTCTTTGGAGCTTCCTCCTTGTCTGACAGCTCCTCCAACTCGTCCACCCCCTCGTCAACAACATCCTTATCCTTGTTTTGAGCATCCTTTGATTTTTCCGGCAAGGTCGAATTCGGCAACACCCTCCCAGATGGAGGCAAGGCAGAAGGCGCATTGATTGATTGACCGCCCTGAGAACGTTGATCGGAGATGTTCAGAGTAGAGTTGGCAGGCAAGTCTTTAGTGGCTGGAGGAACATCATTCGTAGCTGGAGGAACGTCTGTCGAGGCAGGAGCAACATCCTTGGTGGCCGGCGGAACTGGAGTGTTAGAGATGACATCCTTAGACTTTGAGGCCAAAGTTGGTTTGGAGGTCCCCGAGGAGCCCCTTGTAACACGTTGAGATGACCGCACCTCCTTAGACTTAGAAGCAGCAGAAGGGTGAGAAGACTTCTCGGAGGTTTGAGGACCGGAGGGCGCTGAGACATGGATATTGGAAGTAGAAGACGACTCGAGCGAAGAAGGACCGAGAGCTGGGACCGATGTAGAAGCCGCAACTAGAGAAGAGGTGCTGGCCATTCCTTGGGCAGATGACAAGTTGACATTCTCCGGCGCAGTTGAATGGGAGGAGGCAGGAGTTGACCGAAGGTTTGCCGCCGATGAGGAATTGATCACCACAACAGGAGACAACTTCCCTTTAGCCAAAGAGGAAGAAGAACCCTTTGTCGGCTGGAGTGGAGGATTAGACATCGGCAGAGGCTGCATGAGAGATGGATTAGATTGACTGATGAACTCCGAAATCGTTGGCTGTTTATTGACTGGGAAGCGGGGAGTAAGTCCAGCGAGAGCGGCATCCTTGTCGGGAATGGAACGGAAGCCATAAGGGCCCAGGTTTGGAGGATCAATCTTTACGGGAGCCAGCCCTGAAGAACCACCCCTATATCTCAGCATACATGACAAAGCCAGGAGAACAGGTGTGCACTGACCAGAAGTTCGAGCCTTCTTGGACTCAACTGGGCTGTCATCAACATCCATTGATGACGACCCCTCTGGAATCATAATAAACAAGCAAGCCGAATTAGCCAACAAATAGTTAGATGGATGTCCCTTGAAGCATTAGCAGGACTCAGACTTACCCATAGGCCTCTTGGCACCCGTCAACCCAACCACACTGTTCTCTGTAGGATCGTCCGGCTCTTCCGTCAAGTCAATGACTTCAATCTCCTCCACTAGACCGGTGCGCTCCGACTCTTCAATCTTGCGATCCAGCTGGGAACAAAACCTGGTCACCCTCCTGAGGTGTCGATCTTGGTATTCATAGGCAGCCGGTGCAATCAAGTGATGGCCCGCCCTTCGAAGCTCAGAAACGTTGGCAGCGGCATTCTCCTTATCCCTTATCCCTGCAAACCCAGATTAGATTAGTAGATGATTCCCCACTGGGCAGATGAGTATGATGTCAAAGACTTACAAATCCCGCGCATTGCCTTCATGTCAGCTAGAGACGCTTTAGCCAAATTAGGTAGGACGGAATTTGAGATGGTAGTCGCGGTCGAGGGAGTTCTGGTTAGGTGACCAGGATTACCGGGGGTAGTTTGGGGGCCCCCGCGGGTGAGTCCAGCCGGATATTTGTTGACGTTTTCCATTCGGGCCGGAGTAGAAGGATTGGCAGCAGGCTCCTGGAGCTGATTGGCAGTCGAGGCAGCAGGGATAGCAAAGGTCGCTTTGAGCCTTGCGAGAGCGGGAGGATCAACGTTCATCTTGTCTGAACGTTCGGCGGGCATCTTGTCCTTAGGAGTCTTCTGGCCTGCGGATGACGATTTGAGGCCTTGAGAGTCAAACTTGAAAGAGATAGTGAAGAGAAACACATCAGAACGCAGTAAGGTGAGGACGATAATGGAGGGCCGAGATAGAACTAAGCCAACCTTAGTCAAGGGCATCGAACCCCCTCTTGCATGCGTGGATGCCTGATGCTTATCGGTCACAGGTGGATCAACGTCCATGGAACCCAAACGCAACGGGTTGGACTTGTTGGCCGTCTTCTTCTTGAGAGCCTTTTTGGGTGTCTCTTTGATGAGGGACTTCATCTACAAAATACAACACAACAATAAACATGCAACCTGATAAGAGCAGTCACCAGAGACATGAGAGAGACATTCATACCTTGTTGATCAGTGCAGAAGAGCGCGAGCCAGTCTCTTCTTTGTCGGCAACATTCACATCCTCTTCATCGGCGGATAACGCGGGGTCTAACGCAGCCCCATCCCGGCCGGTCGAACGGAATTCTTCTGGGGTGGGTTTCGACTTCCCAGGTTTATCCAATCGTTGCACCTGACAATCCGGGGGAAAGACCAGAATGAATAAGAATACAGGAGAACAGAGCCTCAAGACTGAGAAGACTCACCGACGGAGATACAGTCTTCTGGTGAGCATTGACCACTCGAGCCAGTCGCTTGGGAGGTGGGACCATCCATTCCTCCGATCTCTTAACCGTTTTGGCGCCCTGTAGTGATGAGATCATATTATTAGTGAAGCAACCCGTATGAGTACCAGCTAAAAATCCACCAGGTTGACTTACAGTGGCCGCGCTGGAGACAGTCTTCTCTTGAAGATCCTTACTGGTTGACTGCGGGTGTTTGAACGGTACACCATCTTCCATAGCTAGATGGAGCAATCAGAACAGCAGAGTCAGCGCCAAACAAGCTACATAGTCAGACAAGCTGGAGTCATCCCAAGGGTGAACAATGAAGTAAGTAGATGGGAATCTTGCCTTTGTGGCCTTCCGATATAGAAGACGGGATGTCTTCTGGCAAAGAAAAGGGGGGACCATGATCGGCTGGGAACGGATCGGAGTGAGGGGAAGACGCGTTCGAAGTATCGTGCGCCATGTGGACGGTCAAGCTATAGGAAGAAGTCACCAAATAAAGTCAGCACTTGACACACAATGAACGCTGTCGTTTCACCCAGAGAGCCTACTTACATACAGCTGATTGCAAGCGATCTCTCGAGTTGGGTGTCAGTTGATTTGGCCGCTAGAGGGGGGTGTCAGATGAAAGGTGTGAGTGATAGTTGAAAGGTGTGGGTGATATAGTTGAATAGGACGCTAGACGACAGTGTCTCTTCAAACGTGAGAGGTGACGGACGATTGAGAATTGGCAAAAACGAGAGCTTGAAAGGTCGAACTCGTTTCAGTCAGATACCGCAAGTTGATCGGTTGAGATCGGCCTTTAACATACAGGTGGACGGATTGAAAGAGAGACCGAAGCAGAAGCACAAGCAGAAGCAGAAGCAGAGGGTCAGCTCTTGAGAACGATCCAACTAATATCAGGACCAGAGAGAATACCAACAAAGCAGTGAGCTGATGATATCCTAAGGTGAGGTCGGCGAGTAACGGGTTAGGTGGTGGGATAGATTGAGAGTCGGAACCAGACAGAGAAAAGCAGAAGCAGAATGTCAGATCATGAGGACAGGCGAACTGAAGTGAAGACCAGAGAAAATACTGACTTAGTCAGTGTCTGAAGATGAGAAGTTGAGATCGACCAGTAACAGGTGCCCCAGGATGAATTGAGAGACACAAGCAGACAGACAGTTGAGAACGGCGAGTGACAGGTTGAGGGAGGAGTAGATCGAGAGTCCAGAAGGATAGAATGAGAGTCGGAAGGAGACCAAAGCAGCAGCGTAAACCGACGGCGAAGGGGAAGGAAGTTCCTGAAGGTAAGTCATTGAGAACAGTTGACAGTAACGAGAGAGAATAATACGGACCGCGAGCCTGTTACGTTTGAGTTCAGTTGATATCGGGAGTAGACGGGTCGAATGGTGAAGGATAAGGAAACGGGTGAATGGGTTATGACAGGTGAGTCGACCAAGTGTCTGCAAGGCAAGCGGAGGAAGGTAGGAGCGGTATGTGGCGCGGATGGCGCGGAGGGGTCTAGAAGCGGAGCGGGGCGGGGTTGTAGCATGGAGCCCCCCAAGCGCGCCGGGGCATGTAGTAAGACCCCCAGGTGCGCCAGGGCGTGTAGAAGGGTCTAGACTACACGTGAGTAGAGATCGTGACAGTCCACTTCCGGAAGCTTTGCCACAGTCCACTTCCGGGAAGTCAAAGCTTCCGGAAGTGGACCAAGAAATGCAACTGCTGCTTTCGGTGTCTCTTCCGCAAACAACAACCCTCCGCAACTGAAATAGAAGAATACATCAACACTGGAGCAGAAGCCAGATACCAAGGATCAGGAGATGACGTCGACTAAGAGGTTGAGGGATAGAACGAGTCGACTGCCTCAATGGAGACATGAGTAGCCCAAAATATATTGATATGTAAGTCCTGATGAGAAGCCAAACTACTTCCGAGGTGTGAACGCTTCCGGAAGTGAGGTCGACTAAGACATAGAGGGCTAGAAAAAGGCGACTGAGAGGTAGAAGAGGCATAGGGATAGAGGATACTACCTACCCACTAATTGTAGACATCAGTAGGCAAACAAAACCTGGCAAACTGATACTCAATCCACTTCCGGGAACTCAATGCTTCCGGAAGTGGAGAATGAAATACCACTTGTATGGACCATCAGGATCACATCTGCAAACAGAATACACTAATACTGAAGACGAAGCCGGAGGCAGAGGCATAGATGCTGTCAAATGAGCAAGCGGATGACATTGGGGTTAGAGAAAAGGACAAACGAACCACTTCCGCGAATGGAATGATGCCGGAAGTGGAAAAAGAAATACAACTAGCCCCATCCGTTTCACGTCCGGAAACAACAACGATCCGGAAGTGGCAAATGGGTCGACGAAGACTGAAGAAGAAGCCCGAGGGAAACCATCATGAAATGAAAACGACTAAGGGTAGAAGAACACGACTCCCTCGATCCTGATATACTCATGAGATCGGAATCCGCTTCCGCAAACTGAACCCTTCCGAACGTGGAGTGGACTAAAACGTAGAGCCACAGATGAAGTTGGCTAAAAGAAAGAGACATAGCAGAAGTCGACTACTTCAATTTAGAACGACTAAGAGGTAGAAACATAGACGAAGACCCCTTACAAAACATCAAGAGAAGAAGTCCACTAAGAGGATGATGACAATCAAAAACGGGATATACTCCTGAGATGAAGATCCACTTCCGCGGACTGGAACCTTCCGGAAGAGAAGTCGACTACCCGTAGAGGCACAGAAGAAGTCGACCATATGGATGATAGAGAAAAGAGGACACCTCAATTGAGACAGATGAGTAGCAAATACAAGCCTTTACTAACCCTAACCCAGATATAATGAAGAGATCCCCAATCAACTTCCGCGAAGCGAAAGATTACGGAAGTGGGACAGTCCGTTTCATTTCCGGTTTCAACAACTAATCCTCGGTAGCCTGGATAATCACTTCCGGCATCATCAAGCTCGCGGAAGTAACAACCCCAGACAACCGATTGTTCACTGAATAGGAGGATATAAGCATATATCGAGGAAGGTGAAGGTGGATCCAAGCCAGATAAACTGCCTCTGAAACCCCTTGATTGGTGGGGTAATCACTTCCGGCATCTTGGACATACCGGGAGTGACTAATGAGATGAGAACTTATGAAGGGGTCACCTGCCCCGTGACACACCGCGATCACTGGGGTATTCACTTCCGGCATAATCAAGATCCCGGGAGTGACTACCCCAGTCAAACAACTCTTCAAGGAAGAGGTTGAGATGAGTAGATGTCGAGGAATGTGATGATAGAATTCAACACGAAACAAGGCTAGTCCTACCAAAATAACCCAAATACAAGAAGACACCAGTTGCTGGTCGATATATGGTGTCATACCAAGCAAAGTTAAGTTTAATCGGCATAATCAGGGGCCTATAACCAGGAGGACAGCCTGTGGAAGATCCACAGATGACTGAGCATGAAGATGCAGATAGAGGGTGACCAAACACCACCTGCAGCAAGCCTGAGCAATGAACAAAGTAAACACCACAGTATACCAAGCAATACGTCCCCCACTTATACCGGGAGTAAAATAAATCCCCAGCAGATTGACCGATCTTCCTACCTGACGCTACCAAGGAACCATCCCGCCCCCCCGTCCTATCAATCCCATATAAAAAGTAAGCCGATCAAACATAACCACACGTCCCCCACTTATGTCGGGAGTAAAATAAATCCCCAGCTGATCAACCGATCTTCCTTCCTGACGCTCCCAAGTAACGACCGCGCCACGCCGGCCTATCAATACTATATAAAATGTGAGCTGCTCAATCATAACCCTATCTCCTTGCCTTGTTCCGCTCATGCAGTACCTTACAATTGAATCAAAAGTTATAAGGCCAAGTACCCACCAAGTCCAGCATGGAACCAACCCCTAGCCAGCCTTCACACAGCGTGAGTTGAGTCACTAACCCCATCAAGATCTCACGACGTTAAAGAGCGGTGTCGGCAAACAGATGCGATGCAGACGGTGCAGAACCATTCAGGCAACGCAACCATGTGTCTATGATGTCGAGCGAGGAAGTTGTGCCCAGTGTGCAAGGGCCGGCCAAACATGCAGTATTAGAGTCGGCGAGTATTTCGATCAGTCATCAGCCCAGCCCATCGCAAGCTGACGTGGGAGCAATGAACAACAGAAAATTTCAGGGTCGAGTTACAAATAATCCGAAGGCTCGTTAGAACCCATTACCAAATCCGGAGGGCAAGGGCGAGAATCATTGAAAGGCCCGATATGAATGGTACCAGCTACTTAACTGATGTTCTTCTCAGGAGGATCCGAGCGGAAATCCGAAGATTAGAACGAAGAGTGTATGACTTGGGTCCTGATGAACTCATCGAAATCTATCACCCCTAAACCTTTAATTGGAATGAGGAAGGTTGGACGGTATCAGAGACAATTTTCCCAAGATGTTATCACTTCCGATATAATTAAGATGCAAATCATAAGCCGTTATCGAAGTATGAGATGATAAATCAGTGAGAATGAGTTAGGTGGCCCGATGAAAGTGATAAGGTAGTATAACACCTCCGGGATCGCCCAGATCCCGGGAGTGACTAGCCCAGTGCAACTGAGCCCAAGCCCAATCACTTCCGGAACCACCAATCTCCCGAGAGTGCGGAGCAAAAGATAACATGAGGGTTCAAGACACCAGGCCCCAAGCCTTGGACGATTTTAAGAAAAACACACCGATCTCACTTCATATCTGGGAGCTAGAAGCACCCGGAACAGGATGTGAGATGCACATCCTGATTTTACTCCCGGGCCCTCACCTCATAGCTACCGGCAGTGGACTGAACCAAACAGTATGAAGACACATGGGGATTGTTTTACTTCCGGGAACTCATGGGTCCCGGGAGTGGAAATCTGATCTAAATAAATATGAATGCATCTTACCATGACCCGAGATGCCTCCAACAAAGGATGTTTTTCCATCAAAAACAAGCAAATCACGAAACCAACCCATGCGAGAGCTTGTCGCTGCGGGAACTGAAAGAAGGATACAGAAGCAGATTTGAAACCACATCCGGGAACTCACAGTGCCCGGAAGTCAAAGAGTTAGATAATAATATTTGAAAGTATATTAACAAAAATGTCTTCTGGCAACCATACATGCTTGATGTTTGATATCAAACCACTTCCGGGAACTGTGAGTTCGCGGAAGTGAAAGTTGTATTGGAAAATAATAGCATGTACTTTAGCAAAACCCAACACCCCAAACTCAATAGACCCATTTGAATGCCTACTATTAAACCACTTCCGGGAACTATGGGTTCCCGGAAGTGAATGTCTTATGTGAAAATAATTCAAAGTTTCTTTCCAAAGCCCAACACACCTAACCCAAACAGTACTCACAACTATCAGATTTGAATCCACATCCGGAAACTCACAGTGCCCGGAAGTCAAAGTGTTAGATAAATTTTTTTGAAAGTATATTAACAAAAATGTCTTCGGGCACCCATACGTGCTTGATGTTTGATATCAAACCACTTCCGGGAACTGTGAGTTCGCGGAAGTGAAAGTTGTATTGGAAACTAATGGAATGTACTTTACCAAAACCCAACACACCAAACTCAATAGACCCATTTGACAGCCTACTATTAAACCACTTCCGGTAACTATGAGTTCCCGGAAGTGAATGCCTTATTTCAAGATAATTGAAAGTTTCTTTCCGAAACCCAACACTCCCGTGAAAATTGTATTGAAAAATAATAGAATGTACTTTACCAAAACCCAACACACCAAACTCAATAAACCCATTTGAATGCCTAATATTAAACCACTTCCGGGAACTATGAGTTCCCGGAAGTGAATGTCTTACATGAAGATAATTGAAAGTTTCTTTCCAAAACCCAACACACCAAACCCAAACAGTACTCACAACTATAGTACCCAGCCCTGAATATCTAAAACCCAAGGATATCAAATCAAATCCTGGAACTCTTGGTTCTCTGAAGTGTAAGGCACAAATTGACCAAGTTGAATGCCTCTTATCAAACCACTTCCGGGAACTAAGAGTGACCGGAAGTGGCAGTCTTATTTAGAAATAAATCAGTGTATCATACCGAAAAAATCCCCCCATGGAGGGTATTCCATAAAAAACACAAAAAGCGAAACTATATTCACTTCTGGGAGCTCACCTGGTCCTGAAAGAGTCTAACAGATCAACCCGATTCACATCAGGGAACTGGTGAGATGGGATAAGATAACCCTTTCTGATAGATATGTGGAGATAACCCTCTCTGATAATTATGTGAGTGTTAATGAAGTCATTGCTCAATGAGAATCAATAAAATTACTTCTGTCAACCTAATAAAGGAAAAATCACTGATTGGCAAAGGAGGGAATCAAGGTGCAACTGACAAGAACTGGTAAAATAAACAAATGAACCAATAGGTAATATATTATTCCAGTATGGCATAAAACCAAGTGAATAACAAGGATAATGTTACAATGGATATGTCTAAAGGTGACAAGAAAAGCCAATACACAAGAAAGAAGCACATTACAAGATGGTCATGCAAAATCCAACAAGGGATACAACCAAAGGTCTTGATTTCAAATGGGATTGGAAGCAGAGAAGCCAAGAGAAAGTTACAGAAGTCAAGTGATCAAATGCAGAGAAAGGCAGGAGAGAAGGGTGACATGTTGAATGGAATAAAAACAAGAAGCAAAGGCATATTTTGAGGTCAGATTACAACCAAGTTACAAGATAAAGAAAAGATGTGGAGTCAAAGAGACAATACAAGTCAAGGGACAATAAAAGAAAAGACAAAAGCAAATGGGGTCAAATTCGAAGAAAACAATTGAGAAAAACAGATGATAAAATAACCGGTTGGAGTTGAGGAGGAGATCAGCAAAGGGGATGATGGAAGGGATGCCAAGGACAACAGGGAAATCTGATCAAATTTAAAGATAAACAGGAGAAAGAGAAGACAGGGGGTCAAAGGGTGTGTAAGCTGCTCAAACATAACCCAATTTGTGTGCCTTGTTCCTCTCATGCAGTTCGTTACAATTGAATCAAAAGTTATAAGGCCAAGTACCCACCAAGAGTCCAGCATGGAACCAAGCCCTAGCCAGCCATCACACAGTGTGAGTTGAGTCACTAAGAAAAAAAAAATGTAAATACAGGGATGGATAGAACAGAAGAGGCCACGAAAATGGGAATGAACACAATAACATAAAAGGGTTTAAAGGGATGACACATTAAGTGATGACAAATTACCATGGAACAAGAAGCAGGGTTTGATGCAAAAGGAAAAAATGAAACCAAGGAATTTAAATGGAAGGGTAAGGATAGAGCCAAAGCAGGAGGTATGAAATGGAAGTGATCAATGAACTAGAGGGGTAATGTAAGGAGGATTCAATGATAGTAAAAGAAAATACAGAGAGTAGGAGAGAATACAGAGAGTAGGAGAAAATACAATGAGTAAAATAACATCTTCAAAATGGGAGATGTTAAATGCAAAGGGTGAGGATGCTGTAGAGCGAGTGAACTCCCTTGGGATGGTAAATTTGGGAGGGATTGCCAAATCAAAAGAATTACAATATAAATAAACAATACAAAGTAATGAAGGGAAACCAAAAATCCAAAATGGCAAGAGTAGAATCAAATGGGATGGATAGAAGGAAAGAGAATGTATTAGGAGGGAACAATTCAACATCAAAGATAATAAGGGAGAGGACAAGAGATGATAGGAAAGGAGGTTATATATTATGCTGTTTCATCCAAAAGAAGACCAGAGTACATCTACAAACAATTCAAACTGCTGGAGAGACTTTGAAGAGTAGGAAGTGGTATCAAAAGGGATTTGTGGGACAAAAAAAGAAGACAACTTCAGCAAAGCATAGGGTGAAAGGGAGGGAATCAAATGGGAATGCAAGAGTCAAAAGCAAGAGGGTAAAAATATGGCAATGGAAGTCAAAGATGATACTACAATAGAGAGTGGATGAGAAAGTAGAAGGAGAAGAGAAAGAGATGATATTGAATATGACTAAGTCCAGGATAGCTATAGGAGAAGTTTTCAGTGATAAAATCAGTCATAGATCAGAAGGGCCAAAAGGAATGAGAGAATAGTACACAATTTGTGTGATGGTTATTAAAGAAGGAAATGCATACAGTACACTGAAGTAAGAACAATTGGACCTAACCCAACCACAGAAGA